AAATACATTTGTTTGAAATTTCTCCGTTTGAAAAATAACTCAAGGATCCAAAATATAGGACTAATAGAGGGAACAAGTGAGGTGTCCCCCTCTTATTGGATAATGAGTTGGTCATCATTCCCTATTCTATTGAATAATGAGTTGGTCATCATTAATGATGATCAACTTATTATCCAATAGGAATTTGACACCTTACTTATCCCCTTATTGGTCCTATATTTTGAGTCACCGTAGCAAAACTCATTTCGTTTTTACATGCATCTACTGCCAATTAAATGAGCTGCTTGCAGCCTATGGGCCGCTACTTTTTCTTTTGTTCCCAATAATTTAATTAGCGTTATTATTCGTAAAGTAGGGATGACGACTAGGTCTGCGCACAACGGCTTCAGATGGGCCCCGAGGAGGCCCACTGTACGCTGTCACATGTTCGGGCCCAATGGTGGACCCGAGGTTATTAACCGGCTGGGATATATTAGGAACGAAGAATAAACGGAGGAAGTTCGCGTTTACGCGATGAGTTATATTAATATTATATCCAAGATTTGTAAATAATGAATACGTATGGCGTTCTAATATTTTAACTTTTCATGTATTCCCTTTTGGAAATCCCTAATTAGAATATTTGACCGAAACCTATGCTTAATTTATGCATGCGATAAAGATTTTGTCTCCGACCCAAAAACCCAAAATGATATAGTTTTTACACCAAATCATTATTCCATCTCCAACTCGTTACAACAAATTTTACAACAAATAGGAAATATGATGGATGAAATAGGATATGGTTAGAATATTTGATTTGTTATAACCAATTTTAAGGGCAAACTGGAAAAAGGAAAAAAAAACTCCATATCTACAGTGTTGCGCTATTCCTGACGCAACACTGTAGCAGCGTCTCAAAATAGCGCAGGTTTTGGTGCTAGGTTGGAGGCGGTTTTGGTGTTCTTTTGGCGTCAAAATGGTTTTTTGAAGTAACGTTGGAGATGCTCTCAGGTAACTAAATCTGAATTGACCCAGCACTAGAATAATTGGATTTTGGAAGAGACAAGATTAAGCTCACTTTCTAATCTATACTCTACTATCAGGCGTATAAATTAGTAGGTTTTTGAGAGGGAGTTAATTGTCAAAAGATTCACAACAAAGTCGAACCCCAAGAGGGTCTAGCCGAATTGTTAAATTGTCTATGAAGAGTACTTCAAGGTCTCAGGTTCCACTCTCATATGGATCCAAATAATTATGAAGAAGTTCGTTTGCCAAAAAAAAAATGTTGAACCCCTTAATATATTTAACCTGAAAATTTTATCAGCAGTTTCATACTTTAGTTATGCCAAAATTATAATTTCACCTCGTTTTTTATTGGATATCAAGTTGCATTGTTTTAACCGTTTAGTTAAACTAATTAGTTATTTAAGTAACAACATATTTTTAAAATAAAAAAAATCGCCCTGCGGTGCACGGAAAGACCTCCTTGTTCTCAGGAAAACAATCATAATAATAAAAGGAGAAGAAATCAAGAGGGTGACTATGTTTTTTTTTTTTTAATGTTGGCACTCATCCATTATTATCATCCTTGCCCAAAAAAGCAATCCCACTTAGTTTGTTAAACTAAAACAATTCTTTTATTTCATTATGAAAACTGGCAAGAGCCCGGAAAGCTTTCGCTTTAGGGCTCTTTAATAATGAATGGGCAATATTAATGAGTCCCATAGATATACAACTGGGGGGTAAAATGAAAAAAAAAATCTCAAGGGGAGCAATTGGGAGATAATTGAAAAGAAAGGAAAAGAAGAGCAAATTAAGCTTTATAGCAGTAAAGTTAAGGCTCCATAACTTAGTCTAGTTCCGGACAAGATTAGCTTGCACAAAGAAACGGACTTCACTTTTGAATAATGCATGAAATAATGGTTGCTGTATCAATTGAAACCACTCGAGCATGAAAGGAGAGCGATCTGAAGTTATTGCGTTTTTTTATTATTAAATTAAATATATGCATGAAAACTGCTAACCTTTTTGGAACCTTGACTTTAAGGTTTGAAAGATATACTTCAACTCTTGCTATGGATAATAATAATAATAATAATTTAATTTGAGCATATGTAGATTCCTTGTTGTATTCTACACCAACACATGCTTTTGGATACTCTAATTATAAAAAAAATGCTGTGCACACGAAGGACTGACTTGTATCAGTTCCTTTGTACTTCCATCGTGCTGTACGAAAAGAAATTTTTTCTAAAAACCCAAAATATGGGACTAAGAGAGGGGATATGTGAGGTGTTCCCCTTTTATTGCATAATAAAATGATCATCATTAATGATGACTAACTCATTATGCAATAGGAGAGGGACACCTCACATACCCCTTCTGTTGGTCCCATATTTTGAGTCCTTGTATCAGTTCCTTTGTACTTCCAAATATGAGACCGAGGATGGGCATGTCAAGTCTTTAAAACTAGGCCCGGACTTAATCTGACCGAAATTTTTATTGTTTCTTGTTAAGTTCAAAACTTGAATACCAATCCTGAGAAAGTTAAAAAGAGTCACATATCAGTTATTTAAACCAAATATTCAAAAAAATTTAAATTATGTATCATGAGCATAAAGGTATTATTTTCAATTATAAATCCGAATGCTATTTAAAGTCAAATTCTTGAGAAAAATGAAAGTACCTATGTAACCAGCAATATTTATTGATGTTTGTTTTTAGGGGCCGTTTGGTTTATTTCCTAAAAACCAAGAAAAGGAAATCGGTACAAGAAAACCAATAAAATAATATTTTTATCCATTTCCATCCCTAAAACTCACTTACAACATCCAATAAAACCTTTAAAAATAAACCAAACACAAGAAATGTGTCACATCATCCAACTCATCAAATCTCATCTTATCTCATTTTTTAAAATCACACACATCATCCAATAATATTGTGACAATTCATCTCATCTCATTAAATCTTCCTTTCCATCCATTTCCTCAAAAAAAAAAAAAAATTGATTTCCTTAAGTATGTGTCACATCATCCAATAATATACCTACAACTCATCTCATCGCATCTATTTTCTTATTTTTAAAAATGAACCAAACACAAACATCCTCAAAACATCATCCAATAATATACCTTCAATTCATTTCCTTATTTTTTTAACCAACCAAACAACCTCAACATCATCCAATAATATACCTTCAATTCATTTCCTTATTTTTTTAACCAACCAAACAACCTCAAAACAAGTTTTTTTAAAAAATCACTCACATCATCCAATAATAAGGTGACAACTCATCTCATCTCATCTCCTATTCTATAGATTTCTTCTTTTTTAAGCCAACCAAACAACCTCAAAACAATTACTATAGGAAAGAGGTTTCCTATTCTTTGATTTCCCAATTTTTTTTGCGAAACGAACAGCCCTTTAAATAAAATCTCTGTATACGCATTATCACTTGTAAGATCCCTCTAATTTTTTTATTTTTTTGTTTTACACGTAAAAGAGATGGCAGTTACGGAAGAGACCAGAGGTATCTGGAGAGTTCCCAACCGCATCCAACAATGGATTTGACTTCGAGAGAGGATGACCTATTCGCGTTCTTGGAAGCCAAGCCACGTACTTGCCCGATACGTTTCCCCCTTTCCAAGCGTAACAACAGTAGAGTCCTATTCCCCTTTTCTCCCTATTTATTTATGTATAAATAGATGAAGACCCCAAAAGCCGAATAGCGATCCAAGAAATTTTATTTTTTAAAATTTTTTTTTTAAAGAAATAGAGCCTTCTTTCCTCTCCTCCTTCAAAGTACGCACACAACTGAAAATCACAAAGCGAGACGGGGAAGGGCACAGAAGCGTTCCCGGATTTAGGAGAGCACTGCAACCACGACGACTGCAATCAGCTCGATTTCCTCCCCTTCACATGCGATGGTTGTCACAAGGTAAAACTAAAATACTCACATAATAATACGTACGTATACTTGATGATGTTTAGAAATTTGATTATGCAGTCAATTTTTAGAAGATGAAACAATAATTCCACCCTCTTTCATAGTATAACCGCAACAAGCAGAGGAACAGAGAAATTAAACCCACTTTGATCAAACTGAAAATAGCAGACCATCCAAAATTTTAAGAGACTTACCTCGCGGTTTCTAATCCTTCGACAGGTTTTCTGCCTTGAGCACAGGACATACAGAGATCATGGCTGCCCAAACTCAGAACACAACAGCAGGATGATAGTACTTTGCGAGATCTGCTCTGTGTCAATAGAGAAGAAGGCGGACGAACAAGACCGAGTAATCTTAGACAGACATCTAAAATCAGGGGACTGTGACCCTACAAAGAAAAAAACCAAGAACAAATGCCCTGTTCGCCGCTGCAAAGAGCTTCTCACATTCTCCAACACAAGCACCTGCAAGAACTGCGGCATCGGAGTTTGTTTAAAGCACAGATTCCCATCTGATCATGGATGCAAACTGAAGAGCTTCAAGCATCAGCACCCACTTCTATCGTCAATAGCAAGAAAGGAAACAAATTGTAGAAACACGAAGCAAAAGATGCCCACTTCGCCTCCAACCATTGAAGCTTGTTGACATTATAGCTCTTTCTTGATATTGTTCTCCCTGTTACTTCAAGATGATTTGAGATGTGGATTTCAGTACAAATAAGAGATGAATGTATCTCCGCATAAACTATCTTGTGAGGTTTTACTTTGATTCAGAAACGCAAACTCGAGAGCAATCTTTTGAAGATTTACATCCGATGGACCAATATTTCTAGTACAATGAAAATGCATGAACCATAAATAGGATAAGAAATAAAAATTATCCTCATGAATGACGTTTGAGACGAGGTAAGACTGCCAAGAGAATCTTCTTTCTAGGACCCTGCAAAGATCATACAAAGAAAATCGATACCCGTTTCAACAAGAACATTCATGGAAAGACATGTGATTTGTTTAAAAAGATTAATGCAAAATTTCGTGTAGAGGATAGCTAGTTCCCAGAAGAATATTCAAACTATATTTGTTGGTAAACATCTCATGTCTTAAATATAGCGTTATAGAGATTGCTGCTAGTGTCCAACTCATTGTTTGTCCAGATGCCAATCAGTGTATGCAGTTTTATGGCGATGCAAAATGCAAGGCAGATTAATACATAAAAACTTACATTAATATGGGAAAAATCTATTTATCCGTGGAGCAAATTGCATTAAGTTTCTTTAATAACTTACCGTTTTATATATTGTAACTTGAACAAACACAAAAAAGAATGTTTTGCTCACATAATAACATGTCAGTCATTTACTTACGTCGGCTTGTGTGTGTGTGTGTGTAAAGAGACTACTTTTGACAATAATAACCACACATCAAGTTCTTGTAACCTATGTTTGACTGGATATCGGCAAACACCTGTTGCAACTCATCTAGAGGTGATATCACAATGATGAATAAAAGCCAAGAAAATATAACAGAGAAATCAAGGACAAAGTCTGATGATGTGATCCAGAGTTCATCATGCTGTACAATGTACGTGTGTTAATTTGTATAAAATATAATGGAAGAAAGTAACTGAATTCACTACTCGAGGCATAGTAAAAGTTACTCCACACGAAGTAAAAGTAATAAACATGAGTATTAAATATGACAGCACTTAAGATAATTATTCTAGGATCTGAACCCCCTATGAAAGAAAAGCCGAAAAATTGTGCTCACATCCACCTTGACATTTTCTTCTTCATCAATGTGCTCCTAGCATTTGTGCTTATTAATACAACAGGGAACCAGCTGTTTTCACGTTTTTGCTAAAATAATCAAATTGCACGCAGATATCCATAGCATACAAAAGGGAGTGATAAAACTTTTATGCTAAGAATTAAGTCATGGATGGACAAAGGTACGATGTACAACATCCTACCACACAGACAGAATTAACGAAGGATAACAGGAAAAACTATACCAAAGCCATATTTCTAACAAGCATAGAAAGTACCATTGGTATTCCCAACTCCTTGAGATCATTATCTCCCATTTGCTTCAATGCTGCCATGTCTACCTGAAAATTAGTCCACAATCACCTATTAGCCCACTTAAACGTTTAGCACTATCTATAAGGGATGAGAATTCCAATGACTCTTAATTGGGCTAACATTGTGATATGTGATTACAGGAACATACACCAGTCACAGAATAACACGTGGTCTTGGATGTGCATGTGTGAGGAAGAAGAGTTTACACGAGTATTGGGGAAAATATTATATTTTCTAGCCATCAGATACAGTGTTTGTGTAAAAGCATTAACTGTGTACAACAGATGGCTAGATGCATATAAAGGTATATAAAAAAAAATCCAAGAAGCATATTGAGCGCCTAAAACCTTATTGAATTTATTTTCATAACTTATTGTCATGTGTGTACTCGAGACCTCTACATGGATCATGCATGCACTTACACATACACATTCAAGTATACAGAGATGGATGAATGAAATCCAATGATCGGGCAACCAAATTGCAAACATGCTCAATTCATTTCCATCTACATGAGATAAAAATATTTAAAAACCAAGAATGAAACAATTCTAACTAACATTTTCCTCAAAAATAGGAAATAATACGGAATCTTTTCGCGTATGCATCAACTGAGAATAAAATATACATCATAAATTAGCACACTTAAACATATGGCATAGGATATCTACGGAAATAAAAATTGATGTCAGGATTAAAACTGTCTAGATTAGAATAAATGGTTACAAATCAATCATGCTCCAAACCAAGGATTTAGATAGCGTGCCGATTTCAGCAGATCATTTCTTGCAATAGCATGTATAAAAAATCATGATGTTTTGGGATTAGGTATGCTAAATGTTGTAAATAAAAATTGATGTGCAAATTGAATGGATCAGATTTTGAAATCAACTGGTCTGTCTACCAAATCTCATGCTCACAACACAACATATCAGGAGAGAGGGAGGGAGGGAATGATAGCTTTCAATATTTTCTAGCAACATGGGAACACAAATTTTATGTCTGTTTAGCGACAGAGATCAGTTTTGAATTTGAAACCCTTTAGAGATGTGGGGTCGATCTTGAATTTAAGCATAGTGGAAGTTGTTTTTTTTTTATCTGCACACCTCTTAAATGATGTGGAGGTCTGGCCTTTGCATTTTTAATCATTTTTAGCTGATTCCTAATTTTGAGTTGCATATAGTAAATAGAGGTTGATTTTCCGTTTAGGGTCCCCTTTAGCGCTGTGATGTCTGATTTTAGATTTGACATCCTTTTATTTCTCGATTTCGAGCCTCTTTAAGTGAAGCAGAGACCAATTTAGATTTGATTTTTTTAAGCCGTAAGGACAACAGTCTTGGATTTAACAGAAACAACCCCTCTGCGTAAAGGGAAAAAAAGCAGGCCACTATATTAAGAAGAAAAGAATGAAGGTTCTAGAAAAAACCTCCTCTGCCTGAAAAAGAATGGCGTATTTCCCTAGACCCAATGAATGCAACAAGCTTGCTACAGTATGTGGTTCTTCTGGCTGCAAAAAGTTAAGGAGAATGCAGATCAATACTTTGAAAAATAACAGATATAACTAATATGCATTGGTCTCCATACAAGGAATCACAGAACAAATGAGCAAAAATGAGTTAATTCATTTACACATGCCTTCAAGTGTATTGCCTTGGTATTATGGTAATTCTGGGCACTGTACTTTAGCCACAGATAATGACTTGTAGATTTGCAATGATGCTTCTGAATCAATATGTTGATACACTTCAAACTTTAATTCTACAGTTTGAGTCAGATTAATAAATAATTCAACTTATTTTCCATGATTAGACAGCATGCTCCCGCAAAAAGAAAAGAAAAGAAAAGAAAAGAACTGCTGAGATTAACTGGAGGCAGTGTGTGTGGTCAGATCATTTCAAAATCCATTTTAGCTACGAATACGATTGTCAGAAAATGAAGTTGATCTTTCTATAAAGTCTACCCAAACAGTGTTGAAATGTGAGATGAATAGGAAATCATCAAAGAGGTTAACTAGACAGTTCTTTCATGATTATTTAATGTGGCCCCGTAAAGACAGTTCCTATTACATGGTAGTGGTATGTCACATTTTTGCCATATTTATGCTCGATTTGCATACAGGAGGCAATGTTACAGAAAGAGGCGCTGCTAGGCGCCAAACCGGGATGGTAATAAGATACAAATGCATGTGGGTTAGGAATACATGATTAGATTAAAAAAAAAGTTCACGAACCAAATTCCCATACATCATACAGAAGCTCTTTGAACTTATGATGAATGTTTAGTGAACCGTGGATTCATTTCAGAAACTTCCAGGTAGCTTATTGGATATCTAGAAATGACACGTACACAGACATTCCTTCAAAAACTGCCATGCATATTAGGAAAAATAACAATGATCTTTATCTATTCAAATGCTTACACCACCAGGATTAGAAAGGAAAAAAAAAACTCTGCCTCACAAAATAGCCAGAGCTTGATTCACATATCCAGATCAAAAGTCAGGCGTGAGGATTAGGGAAACCGACGTTGATGTTTATCTTAAATGTTAATGCTATTCTGGTTAAAGCTAGAAATTACTACATAAGATGGACATACACTAGGTTAGAAGAAGTTTAACTATCAAAAACTACCATTTTGTCTCAGAAAGCAAAAACACCATGAATTCTATTTATTCCATGTCACTACCATTAAACTTTCAAGTTCATAGTACTTTGCATGGTAGCGATATGCAACTTCAGGACAGGCTGATGGAAGAAAAGTAAGCTGTCAAAGGGCTGAGTTCCTTACATGCTTATCATGGACCAAAGGTAACTACTTAATACACACTCGTGATGGTTTTAGTAAGATAAATCAAGGTTATAAAATTATATAAGAAAACTTTGAAACTCCATACTAGTTTGTTAAAATTTACCCTTAAGATTATAAGGCCTATTAAAAAGCTACTATAATCCCTCCAGTTGGAGCACAGAATGCTCCACTTAGAGTACAGAGTCCGTAGTTGTTAAACAATCTTAACAACTTGTGCTATCTTAATTCTATCCAAAAATTAAATTAAAAAAAATCTTGTGATATCTTAGTATCACTTTTGGAGAAGAAATCACACCTTATAGTACTACACACCTTATAACACCCACACGAACAGTCCTAAAAGATGCTTGAAGAGCTTCTGAAATACACTAATTTCAATCAACTGAAGAAAAAAAATCATAACTAGCATTTATTGCTTACGAGGGAATCCTTAAAAAGACTAACTACCCATGCCCAACTAGGATCAATTTCACAATTCAGATAAACAAGCACAGAAAGTTCTAAGCTAGGGGTACCAAACATGTTCTCATAGCCACCATCTAGTATATACATAAGTGCACGTGGAGCAAAACATTATGCATATTTAGGAATAAGGTAGGAACCACCACATAATATTTAGAAGCCACCTCCAGGATTCCCGACCATTACCTTTATAATCTCCCATCACCAAGTGAACTGTAAATACGAGGAGAGCAGCGTATCGAAAAATGAGGGAAGATTGTAACACTTAAGTGAATAGTATGACATTTCATATGTACTACTGTACTAGAAGGTGTATGATATATATTATTTCCTATAAGTTAGAAACTAACCATATAGAGCATTTTTATGGAATCATGGAAAGTTCAAAGTTAAATATGTGGTCAAATAGGAGCCAAGTTTATATATCCTAAAGCGGGTTACCACGTAGGAAATTCCTCGCTGTAGGCTACACACCTGGCACTTCTTCTCATAATAGAATAATAGATTTTGCCCTTGGATTACCTTGCATTTTGTCTTTATTGCCAAAAGTTGTTGATTGACTTTTCAAGTTTAGTTGCCTTGAATCTTCATATATTTTTCTCTATTTTGATAAAATCAAGTCAACTTTTCTTTTAAAATTCTAATTGAATGATTATCAAAATTTCTAGTTTTCTATTGGATTGGACAGTTTTTGCCCATTTCCTTTTCAGTTTGTAACCTGATCTCCTAATGATTCTAACACGTGATATTTCCCACTTAAAGCTAAATGTCGTCATAGAGGAGAGAAACAAAAGATGATGAAGGTTACAAGAAGGCAAGTACGCCGCGAAAAGTGAGATGATTTGAACAATGAAAAGAGATGATAAGAGCTGAGAAAGATAGGGGGAAGGAATTGTTGGGAGCAGCAACTGGTGGTCTGGTTGTCAAACAAGTCAGAGGAGTGACAAGAGGATGCTCTTGATATGAGCAAAGTTTGAGTTGGACAAGTCCCTGCTGAAGCATAAATTTCAACACACTGTATGCAAGGTTATAAAGCATAAAGTACGGATCAAATCCTGGTATGTTGAGTTTTGTCCTATATGATACACAAGAAAACGATTGACATACTTGGAGATCCGAAAAGAGCTTCATAGAATGCTTTTGTTAACAATGCCATCATCATTTACCATGTTATTTTCTTTAATCCTTATTTTACTTATCTGTTTTTGTTCTGAATCTGCATTATCGCTACAGTATGACATGACATTGCTTTTAGAATATGTTGCAACTTCTTTCAAAGTTGATAAAGATACAAGCATCCTTTGAAATCCAAGAGCTTTAAATAACAAAAACTTATGATAAATGCTGCCATGCCATTCCTTCACTCTAGCAGTACAGACGAAACTGGTTTCTAAAATAATCTGGATGAAGTATATCAAGCTTAGTGATATGTTCAACTTGTTTACATGTAAAAAACAAAAGAAAATCTAAGCATTTTTGCCACTGCTTTGACAAAACCTAAGATGCTCCACGGTAGCATTGCTGGACAAATAAGATGTCTACATCCATGCCTATGCCTTCTTAAAACCCACAAAGAATCAGACCACCTGAACAGGGATGGCAGCTGCCAATCCTCATGTACACCTAAGCAAATAATAGACAAGAAAGTCCAAAGACAAGTAATGTTCATCGACGTAAAATACTCATCATAAGTTATACTAGATAACTATAGCAAGCATAGTACAATACTCAACATGGACAGCTCGATGAATGGAATATAAACATTCTGAATTCTGTATAACAGCACAGACGTAAGCAGCGGCCATGGTGAAGTACCATTCAAATTTCCATTTGGATCAGTATATTAAAAAAGATCACACTTAGCAGTAAAAAATTTACAATCATGAAGAAAAACTTTACCATGTAAGAGGTTTTCTGTAAAGTGCCACTTGGTAGAGGAGCTCGCATGATAGGCTTGGCAGTTCCAACAGGAATTGGACCTCTGCTCATCAAAGGATCAGATCTTGAAGCATCAAGAACACTCTTTGGAATGAAATTTTCTGGTCTTGAGATGTCAGAAGGCCTCATAGACGAAACATGCCGCGGGTCATTGTAACTGCGAGGAGGAGACATACCCCTAGAAGCTCCTACTAATCTGTCAGGAGATCTATGCCTTGACCTGTCTGAAGTATAAGCATATGACTTCCTCAATGAATTCAAGTGGCACAAATCTTCTGCACTTCGCGTTGGAGGAATTTGCCTAACAAGGCCAGAGGGTCTTGATTCTGGCACATGTCGTCTTGACTGACCATTAGAATTACGCGAAAGCTTTTCACGAAGATCACTATTCCGTTCATTGGAATCAGTATGAGCTCTTTTGGAAACTTTTTTGTGATTAAGTTTATACCTTAGATCATCTTGACCAACCCGACGGTCTGTCATATTTAAGAAACAAACATAAAAACAAAAAAATAAGAACAAACAAATTGAACAAGGTTGAAGGCTTGAACACGTACTGGGCATGTACTTTTTGTTATCTTCCATATCATAATCACTCAAACTGTGACTATCATCCTCCGTCCGTTGTCTGCACAGAGTGTCATTATTAGATTTTACAAGTAAGACCTAAGAACTAGAAGATTGTCCAAAACTGAAATCGTCCGTTTCTCCTACAGTGCAGAACATTAATAAGTACGATGTTAAATATTACATAACTGTTGGATATTCATGTTTTAAATTTAAATTAATACCAAAATGAGCTCACATCCCATGCTCCCAAGAGTAAATGTGCTTACATGTATTACACAACTAACTTTGTGAAGCATAACAAATGGTCAAGAAAATTGTGGCCTTCCATACTGTAAGCTTCTTAGAAAGAAAATTCCTCAAATTTTCCCCACAAAATCAAATTAATGTATGCTACCCCTTTTAACTAGATGTCACCGAATGAGAAGGACTATTATGAACAGTTCAAGTGAAGAAGACAACAAAAAAAGAGAGAAACAAGAATAAAAATTCAAGCAATGTAAGGAATCAATAACCCTTAGAATCTTCATCTACACGAATGCAGATACCAAATAAAAACATGCAAGCATATAAGCATGACTTAAGAAATGATTTAAGTATATGCATTCAAGTTAGATACATAGTCAAACCCTTATACCTTCACAAGCTGAAAATATATATTTCAATATAATAGAAAACATACTGCAGAAAAAGTGATTGAATTCATTAATCAAACCGCAAGAAACATAGAATGAAGTCCACACCTTTTGCTTCTGGTCAGACCACCATAAGAATGGGAATCGCCTACCCTATTCCCCAACCTCTCTCTGATTGGCCTCTTACTCCCAGATGATGGCTCGTAATCAGAATGACTAACATCGGATATAGACCCTGCTCTCTTTACAACCTGGATGTATAAAACAATGAGAATGTTATGAGGGATGAGTGATTACACAATAAGACAGAGAACAAGAAATGAGTGTATCAGTAAGAAGTTAGAGGTGCTTCTATTGAGGATAAAATTAGAGAGAATTATCTTAGATGATTGGTCATGTACAATGGCGGCCCTAATGGCCATTAAATACCCCAGTTAGATGAACAAATAGATTGAAATTAACGGAGAAAGAATAATTAGAGACCTCATAACTTGGCTATAAATTGTTAAGGATATGATAATAATTGACTTAGTGGAAGAGATAGGCCTCAGCCAGACTGAGAGAGTGTTTGGGAGGGCTTGTTTTTTAAGCTTATAAGCTATGCAAGCTTTTGACGGCTTTTTGGCTTCTATGATAAAAAAAAATTATGAAAATTGTATCGAGACAATAGCCATTTGCATTTGTTAAAACCTAGCTTATTCAGAAGAGTTTACATGTTAGGTTTTCAAAAGTTGGGGAAACCCAACTTTTTTAAATGGGACTTAAAAAGCTAGCGTATGTGGGATGTTGCTAAACATGTAGATATGGGAAAGCTCGCTTAAAAGCTACTTTAACCAAATAATAAGAACCCCTCCAAACACCCTCGCAGTGGAAGAGTATGACTCATACTTCATGTAGCCGGCCCCAAAAACCTCGGATAAAGGCGTCGATTATGACGATGATGATAATGATGAACTTAGTAAACAATAAGACGATGAAATTCAGGCTCACTATAGAACTATTTTATACAAAAGACTAAATAGCTTTCCTTACATCCAGCACATTTTCATTACCCATTTTGTTTAACACCAACACAAGATGTTTCCTTGACAATATATGAATAAATTAAGACAATATGTGTAAAATAAATAAATAAACATGCATCCAATGCTAACATCGCAATATGTGAATGAAGAAGAATAATAAGAGCGAACACAGAAATTACCTGACCGCTTCGGCCCAGCGTGATGGTGACCTGAGGCCGAGCAGACATTTCTGTTGCTTTTCCCCTCCTCCTCCTCCTCCTCCTCCTCCTTTTTTTTTCAGAACAAAATTAAAACCCTAGAAATGGAAACCGAGCAAATAAAAACAGTAATAGTAAATTAAAATAAATTAAGCATTTGGCTCATAGACAAGGTCAAAAATCAAACTACAGCGACAGAACAGAAAATGGAAAGATCGGTATCTTCGCCTCATTACGCAGCGTAATCTCAAATTAATAAAGAGAAAATAAATGGAGAAATAAAGCTAGGATTAGGGCAAACTCACTCCTTTCGCGAAACTAGAAGGAAATAATAATAATAATAAAGAAATGAGAAAAGAAAGGGAACCTGCGATTGATTTGATTCCTCTTCCTCTTTAGTAAAAGAAAGAAAGCAACAGCAAAATGAATCAGGTTCCGTTCCAAAAGGGCTCTATGTTTTTGAGCTGCTGTTTTCTCCCCCTTTTTTTTTTTTTTTACTTTTTACTTTTTTGCCCCTCATGATATGGGTCCTCGTGGGCATCTTGGGCTGTATTTGATGGGATCAATGGGCTTGCATGTTGCAGAAAATCACCACAAATATTTGCAATTTCCTTATACAAGGCCCAGATTAAAAAGAATATATATCCATTTGAGTCCCATTTCAACATTCTATTTGCACTGTTATGAGGATGGGTTTCACGTAGCTACCAATGTGGCAGTAATTAGGATCAGTTAAATTGTTAAATGAGATTTCTGTCTAACATTAGGGCTCAAAATTAGGGTTCAACTGGAGAATTTTTTGTTCTTCTTCCTCCTAGCATTAAATTAGCTAGGGCAACTGAAATTAGAGTTAGATTCTGTATCCTCAAGCTCTTCCTCAAGGTCAAGCTCAAGTATGACCATGGAAGAAGCAAACTAATGGCTCAATGAGATGAAAAGTCCTAATTTATACAAATCAACCACATTATAGCCAAATCAAGATTTTGAACCAATTAAATAAAACTATGCACAAGGAGAATTTCTGCAAAATTTGAAAGATTCATCCCCTCCCTCACATGAACAGAGAAAAAGAAGGAAAATAAGAGCTTTTTTTTTTCGGGGTGGGGGTGCTGGTTTTTTCCCCCTTTTCAGTTACCCCTACCATGTAAGCCACCTAATCTACATCATCTACATGTGAGGAGTCATGTGACTCAATTTGGCCGAAATTTTGGCTCCGACCAAAATACAGACTAATTTATCGCCATAGTCTACATAATATACCAAATTGTCACCGGTCTAAGAAAAAAAATATACCACTGTGTCACAAAGGGTCAACAAATATATACCAATCTAGTAATTTTGCCATTTAGAAGGCACAGGGCAAGTAAAAGGACCAGAGCCATCCGAAATTTGAACTTCCATTTGATAACAAAGTGAGATATATATATTCACAAAGAGACAAACCCCTCAAAAAAGAAAAGCCAAACCATGTTTCTCACGTTCAATTTATTAGTAAGTATTTTCTCGTAGTTTCCACTTTTCATTCCCGACGACATCGTTACAAGCCTTTCTCATTCCCGACGACATCGATGCAAGCCTTTCTCGTATATTACAGTGTGATCGTGTTACACAGACTTCATAGTATAGAATGGTCGTGACAAAGAATTAGACATGAATTAGAGGTCCAAGTGTGCAATTAATAAGAGTAATGCATTAAAATTACAGGTTGTCAGGGGAAAGAGTTAGCTCAACTTGGACATCAGGGTCTCCCTTGCTTGTTTGAGACAGAAAATCATTCATATGATATTGGTCAATAAATTCTTAAAGATGCCATCTTTAACAAGAGATGAGATGAAGTTTTACCTGCTCAGTATGCGGAACTCAACACCATTACATCACAGTTCGCCACTATTTTATGCATATAATGTACATCAAAACGGTGACCTATTGCATCTGTATACCTCCTGCTACTATTATTACTCAGTTTTACATCACAAACATGTAAATGTACATACTAGACTTCAAACTTTCTCATGTAAAGCTAAAGACTTGAAGTTGATTCTTTAATCTCTTCCAGTGTGATGGTCTGCAAGACGAAAAAAAATTAACAAAACAAGGTAATAAAGGTTTTCCGAGTTTCGTATCATAGAAACAAAAAAGACTAATAGTGTCGAACATTCAGAGATATAATACAGAAACTAAGAGCAGGCAAATAATTCCAAATGAGACTTGCTTCGCGATCTAGTTTCTAGTTTTTTAACATACCTTTCTTTTGAACAGCAACATAAATATCACAGTGACCATTGCTAGATAAAAGGACAAGTTTATATTATCCTGGCATGATCAGTTCTAGGTTTTATTACTATATCAAGGTATAATAAAACTAATAGCTTAACTTGTTATTGTCCTAGGAAATACCATTACCATGTGATGCAATTTTTATGAAAGCTAATACCCATCTGTGACAACTAGTTCTATTATTTTGACTAGCAGATTTGCAAATGCGTGTCAAACAAATTTAAGCTATTTTTCTTAATTATACATATTAGAAATATAATATATAAAGTCAGAAGTTAGATTTTAAAATAGAAAAAAAATCTTTTATCCTATATCTCTCTTCAAACTTTCAAATTATCAACAGTAAGACAAATTTTCTTATAATTTATATTAGTCCTTTTTTTTGGTGTGTGTGACAAAGAGTGACAGACTTTCCTTCGCTATTATGCTTTTGAATCTGCAATTTCCCTGCTATGTCATACCACAAACTTATTTTTAAAGAGAAGCTCTGAAGTGTAATAAGTTGATAATATATGTAAATAGTTTATATTCTTCCTATGGTTTTCAGAAAAAAAATGAAAAATGATGTCTAAAGAAGATTTTTTTCCCCTAAAGAAAGAAAAATAATATTTTTCTAATAAAAATATTAGAGAGATTTTCTTACGAATGTACTTTTATAGTTTTCTATTTGTATATGTAAAAGATAGAAATTATTCTAATATTTTCAGAAAATTTATTATTTAGTACACAGATTCATTCTTTTATGGCATTGTAAATTATTTATTTAATTTAATATATAAAGAGTTACTTGTGCTCTAAAAAAACATGTAATTTCAATTTAGTTTTCATTCACGTATTGCAAATTATATTCACAAGGGGCTTAAATTTAAAAGCCATGTTTGACATACGTAGAGGGAAAATCCAAGATGAAGAAGTGTGCGCAAACCAAATTTGCTTAAGGGTTTAAATGTAAGAAACATGTTTATTAACATTCGCAGTTTTCCAGAAATGAAGGTGACTGGTCCCCGTGTAAACCTAACTACTTCTCATTTCAATTGAGTTTACACTGGTCATTCAAACTTTTTGGTACCCCTCATTAGTTTTTAATATAATAGTATAGATACTTGGTCAGTATGAGTAAAACATGCAAGAAATATTGGACATCAACTACTGTAGCAAGTTTCACTGAAACAACATAAAAGACTTTTCTCTGAATATTGACACTGAATGAGTTCGGAAGTCAATTAAAACAGGACATAATGATGATTTTGGTTGTAACAAAGAATCTATCACAATTTACTTGGTGCATTTATATGAAAAAAGGTAGCCCTTCTGCTTGTTTCTTTAGCGTATTTATATGACAAAAAAAGCTATCTTTGTCATTTCCCTACCTCTGCAGGTGTTGTCCCTGTGTGAGTAAAGGTTACTGTCTAATCATTTATATGTTTCCTTGCAATAGGTCACCGGTTACTAGATTGAACCAGATAAATGTCTGAGGTTATTTTGTTCAACCCTACTCCAATTTCATAGTAAATTACTGATTACATATACAGTTATGTAAATATTACATCGACATCTATGAAATATAGTTGTATCCCTGTAGCAGGTACTAGGAAGGTTTCCATGTCAGATGCTCTAGAACATCCTGACAGTTGACAAATAAAAGTAGTACATACAAACCTTTGTCATTTTTAAAGACTTTTATCGATGAATCAAGTGTTTGCGAACATTTTTCCAATAATAGATGCCCTGTAAGATATCTTTAATCCATCTATTTTTTGCATTCGAAGATTGCTGGCCACCAAGAAAAGAGACAATCATCCATGTCATAACCCATTATGTGAACTTAGATCATCACTTTAGTATCTACCCAGTACCTAAGGAGCTGACTTAACACATTACATGGATAAACACTATCTTTTGTGGAAGGGAACTGCAATCTTCCTTTATAGCCTTTCTATACATATAAACATGATCACCGATTAGTACTTCCAACTCATTCAAAAATCACAACTATAACCATGGCTCCACCATTTTCTGGCCAATGCCATTGTAAGATTGACCTTAATTTAGAGAAAGGATTTCAAAGTTATTCTGTTAAGCCTCAGTTAGCGAGGTGAGGAGAAGAATACTATCAACAAATAAGTATGGAACTAAACTCATATGTAACCCCAAACAAGTCATTTCTCACTGTTCTTCTATTCAAGAATAGATCAAAGCAATAAACTTGAGAAATCTTCAATCTGTGATGTGGCCCACATTATGGTCCAGGCTTATGAGTAAATAGGAGACTCAAGTACTGATATAACTCGATATAAGATCATAAGAAAAGATAATCAGTTAGCTATTATGTAGCCTTACAAGAAAAAAGTAACAAAATATCACCAAGGAAAGGCTAAAAACATTGCTCAAATTGGTTTCATGTAAAACAAGTTCTATTGTTTTCAGATCAAGCACTATACAAAGAAAACTGTAGCTGAGGGGATAATGTCAAGCTTCTTCTGTAGTTTTCATATCATTAACGGGTCAACTAAAACTATAAGAGAGAAAACAAGAATGTACATTAGGTAAGAAATACATGCCTGGTCTGCACCAGCGAAATCATTATCCGGAGTAAGAAAAAGCATGCAATGGCACTCCTTCCTGCCAAGAGAAGTTGTAGGGAGCAATGAACAAGAAAAGGACAAAACAATATAATTCCAATTTAATAATCAAATCCAAATTTCTATATGCACCTTAATATCCTTTGATGAAAACAAAGGTGAAACCTTCATAACCAACATAAGAAAGATACTCCTTGAGTGTGCCAAAATAAAGCATAACTATCCAATAGGAACAGACCAAAATGCCAACAACAGGGATCGGAAATCATGGCAAACTATTAAAAAGTGGGATTTGTAATCATGGGAAACCACTAAAAGATTTATAATGCACTCAATACGACATGGAACAACTTTGAACTACTACTCAACATAATTAAAGTGTGAATAACATGTAATCAAAGAAAAGATGGAGTTGTAACCTTGGCTCAACCTTACACCTAACCATATATATTTTTAAACATGTGAAACCTATCTATTATGTCTTAAAGTGTATTACTCATCTTCACTGAGGTTACTGAAGGCTAATAAGTTCATGAGATAAGATGATAAACATCAAAAAGCACTTGATTGATATGTGAAAAAATCCGCTAATTCACTTGCTAAAGAGGTAATTAGTATATATCTTATCCAAATGCATATTAGAGGGCCGAATCATAGTGCAATGTCCAATGATGTCTTTCATCCAAGAGCATAAACATGCCCATGTACATGTTATTATGACATAATACAATATAAGTGAGTTTAACTAACAGGTATTTTGGGAATACCATTAGAAGCCCTTATTTTGCTCGGTTGACATAGTCAAAGCAGCATCAATGCATTGAATACAACAGTGCATACAGGTAAGGTTTCCCATTCATTTTAACTTTGTAAGAGAATACTGATGAACTGCTCTTAAAGACAAAAGCTTAAAATAGTGCCCCTTCACACTCAACTGAAAAAAAAGAGAGAGACAAAACTTGGCTCAAATGGCAAAGATAAAATATAAGCTCAATGCTCCTATAGTTTAAAGAGACCACATATCAAAATGTGAAAACCAAAAGTTAGCAGATCAGAAAGGACCCAATTTTCCTCATTCTTCACACTACAAACTCCTTTCCTTAAGTGCAATATTTCAACAAATAAGAATGGACCTACAGTTGATTTCTAAGTTTGTCATCCACCCACTTATGATGAACTAAAAATCCATAAGGTAAAAGAAAGTTTTAGATTAAAAAGAAAATTTCAATGAAACTCTACCTTTCTCGCATAGGTACACAAGGGCAATTCCAAAACCCCTGCCCTGCCTCAGCCGCTTTGTCATCATAATGCCTGTTATATGACGCACGACATATACTGATTATGTTTCAGAATGAAAAGTAAGATGGAACTTGTGAAAAAATATTTACCTACAAGGACATAATGGTGCTCCTAGTGAGTCTTTATGATCAGCAAGCCCCTGTTTCAATGCGAGGCAACAACTCAAAGGTCAACTCGACGCTTTTATCAAAATAAAATTAAGGAACATGGAAATATGACTAAAAAAATATCAATTTAAAACATCCATCAATGAAAACAAAAGAAAGCAGTCTGCATTGTACACACACACACATCCACACGGGGAGGGAGGGAGGAAGGATCCTCATTGTACTGCTATTTCTTAGTCGTGACTACCACCACCGTTCATACTAACACAAGTAGGCACTTTTCCATGCATCATGATCTTTAGCAAAGTTCATATTTCATTGTAACCACACACATAGGCACTTCTGCAAGCTTCATTACTTTTTATTAAACAAAATGATCACTTCGTGATCTTGCCACTATTAGATTGTTCAAAGTTCTCTTTCAGCAATCTAACTACGTGCAATACCCCAAATCCTATTTTGTCTCGGTTACGAAGCTAAAAATTCCATCCTTCAGTAAAAATTGTATGATTCAGCAATAAGTTGTAAGAACATAAATAAATTAAACCAGAAGGCCCAACAAGCTCAATGTCCCACCCAGAAAGTTTATAATGTTATAGTTCATTAGAGATAGAACTCTTCAAGTTAAACATGGATGCTCAACTTGCAATTATCAGCTGTACAGCAACTTGCTCATAAACATTATACTGTTTGTAAAGTAATGTTTCAGTAAAAAATACTCTTAATGCCACTCCTACACAACATAGCATGTATCTTAAATGTCCAAAATCCAAGTTATATAGTAAAAGTCTATCATAACCAAAACAAAGAGAGTTTTCCAGCACCGTGCAAATTCGTGGCTAAGAAAAATAAAAGATTAGTAGTCCTCTCATATAAGGGTATTGAGAGTTATAAGGTATTGAGATTTCATTGAATAACACCATATATGTCAAAGTTTATATACCTTGATGACAACAGAGGTGACTCCTTTATCTACACAAAAGTATGTTCCTGAACGACGAGCATACTGCTCCGAGAACTTCCTCATTATTTCAACAGACTTTTCACTTGGCTCAGCTGCAAATACCGCAAGCATCAAAATGGCAAGTTCACTTTTACCACCAAAATAACTAGTACAACCACGTTCATGACTAACATAAAAAAGGTTTATCACTCTACGATCAAGATAAATTTAAGGTCGTACCTTCATTTTTCCTATCACATTAATGAAAATATGTCTATCCTATTATGGTTTACAAAGATCTTGCACAATTTGCTCTACGGCATGTGAAACTAAATTGACCTGACACCACCATAGATTCTACTACCACCAAATTGCAGTCTAAAATAAAAGGCATATGACATATTAGTACAGATATTGCGCTAACAAGCACATGCTTAGCACACTTAGAGTGGTGATGAATTTACAAGGGAAAAAGAGCAAAGAGAGGAACATTTGAGGTATGTTTAGGCAAGTAAAAGTTGTCGATGTGTGTGTTTGTGTGTGCGCGCGCGTGCGCCTTGCTTCGTGGTAATAGATGGAGTTGGGGCACAACCATTGCTTCAAGAAAAATAAAAACGGTTACAAATTGGGAAATAAGTAGAAGAATGTGATCCAAGAGCAATAACAGTCTCTAACAAAGAGAAGTTTCAGCCAGAAGGGAAATTCAATCAAGCCAACATTCCTTCAATTCCGAATCAGGATAACCAAGAAAGAACCAGCTCCATAACTATCACAAAACATGTGAGCTGCACAAAGAGCCTATTTATATTTAGCTTCCTTTTGTAGCGGTTTAAAGATCCCTCTAATGATTTATATAGAGCATCTGAAGTATTTATTTCAAAGGAATTCATGCGAGATGATATAGCAATGAAGTCCCCGCACCAATCGACCACCAAAAGCATGTAATTGATGTTGGGCTAACCTTTCTTCTGTAGTAAAAATTCTATTTGATTCATTCCAGTGTAATTTGATTATTTGCTGTGAAAATAGATAATGCACGCTAACTCTAACACAACCCCTTCCAATCAAAATACACGCTGATGAAATAATCAGTTATGGATGCCTCTTCGTCTTTCCTCCAATTGGATTTCTATCCCCATAGAAAACCTACTAGAGCTCTATCCCTTTTAGGCAACTGAGGCTTGAATTAAAAACATTGTGACCTCAATCAATCAAATAAATAATACGAAAACGAGTAAGATTTTGTTGAAGCCCTAACCTTTGGCGCGAACCACACGACGAGATCGCCGGATCGACGGAGGTGGCGGCAAGCGGGGGCCGACGCCGACGAAGGCACCGACGCCAGCAGAAGCTTGAGCTTGAATACTCATCGCTTTCGATCGGTGGATTTGTTCAGCTTATTAGGGTTTTTATTTTACCGTAATTCCCCAATTTTATTATCGTCTCTCTCTCTCTCTCTGCTGTGCCGAGCTTCAAGTACTTATTTCTTATTATTATTTAGTAAGGTGCGAACCACTCATTTGAAGGCGGGGAGGATAATAAATGGATGCAGGATAATGGGGTAAATTTCGTCAAAAATACGAAAATATCCTCAGCTTCATCTTTTTCAGGCTTATAATTGCACTTAATAGGGCTGTGCAATTGACTGCTCGGTTCATTTTTTACCCAAATTTGGCCAAACCGAACCGAACTGCCTATCATTCAAAACTGAAGCGAATCGATTCAAGCCGGTTCGGGTCGGTTCGGATCGGTTTGTTCGGTTTTCACTTAGATACAAATGTTATGTCCAAATTTAATTTCATCTCTAATCTGTTATGAAGAAAGAAGTCTCTTACCCTTCAATTTATTAAAATCCATAAACTACTAAATGCTACTGAATATTAGATGTAGAAATCAAAATCTTATTCCTATCAAAGATAGCGTAAATTTTTTTTAGAGAAAACTTACATAAAGAATTAAAGTGATTTCAATCTGATAGACAAAGTAAATAAAAAATATTTAATAACTTGGATGTTGGGTATAGTTTCTATAAAATTATAAGTCTAATCCAAAAATAAATCTGATCCAAAAATGTATTAATCGAGGAGAAAAATCAGGAAAATGTTAGAATCAACATTATGGTTAAAGTTTCTTACCTCCAAAGTGGATTGGTCCAAAGTAGAAGAAGCGAATATGTAATAAAGAGTGATAGAGAACTAGAGATAATGAAAAGCCCTAGAATTGGAGAGGACATTATTATAGGGGTATTTTATCACTATCAAGTCGCGTGAGAGAAAAATATATCAAGCTGCAGAGAAATAATTCTATATGAACTATAATGGGCCGTGTTTAAGCAGATGTAAATGGTAATTAGAATGGGTAATGCAATTTGGTCAGTTCGGTAGGTTCGGGTTGAAAAAACTTTAACTTGACCCGAACCAAACTCTAATAAAAACCGAACCGAGGTGTTAAATTTTGATCGGTTCGGTCGGTTTGTTCGGTTTGAACCGAACTATGCTCACCCTTAGCACTTAAAGAGTTTTTTTTAAAAAAGATATTTTTTGCTAAATAATTAGCAAAACCAACATCTTTTTTGCCAACAGACCAAAAAGATGTCGGTTTTGCTAAATTGCCTCTTCGAAACATACAAGACTACTAGTCACGTATGTTTAGTGGCTAATAATTGGCCACTAAACTGAAGTCATGCGTGACCAGCAAACCTATGGGACTACTAGTCCCGTGGGTTTGTTTAGTGTTGCACAAAACGTACGGGACTAGTAGTCCCGTACGTTTAAGCAAAAAAGATTTTTTTGTGCTTGCCCAGCAAATCCACGGGACTACTAGTCCCATCGATTTGCTGGGCAGACTCAAAACCTGCAAAAAACATGCACAAGCCTCTTTTGCTGATTAAACATTGTTTTTTACCAAAATTTGCGTAAAAATAAAGCATCCACTTTGTATATATTGATATACAATATAATATTTATAAAAGTTATAAACTTTAAGAAATAAACATTATATAAGAACACATTTAAACAATTCACAACATCACAACACAATAGATACGTCGTATACATATCAAGATGACAAAATACTCTAAACAAATCCAAATGTATCCACAACATCACAACACAATAGATACGTTATGTACATATCATTACGACAAAATACTCTAAACAAATCCAAATGTATCAAGTCTATCCATACGACAATATATAGTCTAAGTAGAAAAGCTAACAACCTAAAAGTCTGCCCCTCCCCTGTTGTCTCCCTCTTCGTACCTGCTCAGATCGTCGGCAGCCTCCTTCGACTTGAGCTTGTATGTGCTCGCTCTCCGGTTGTGTGCGGGGCTGTGATGGACCAGCTTGCTGTGATGGACCAGCTTGCTGTGACGGACCAGCTTTATTATCGTGCGTGAAAGATCTATCACGTCTTCGTCGGTGTGCGTATACCCTCTCCTCACGCACCATTTGCTCGCGACCTTCATGCCGATCCTCATGAGTTTGATGAAGAGCTCTACAAACTCTCGCCACTATCCGATGCAATACCGATACATGTACTGAATCTCTTGTGGTGGTAGCTATGCCCTCATTTGCAATCACCTCTATCTCTTCCATAGCATCTATCTACAATTACATAAAAAGATATAATTATATATATAAGCAACCAAAAGCTAACAAGAGATTGAAATTTTTTGTCTAATTTGCGCAATTTCCAACCATATTAATCGTCATTCCAATGTGGCGATTCTTGGACACCTGCTCCTTGAGACGAAAGCGTCGTCTTCTTGATGACAGAATCATCGATGATGACATGTGCGTCAATTCTCCATATGGGCACGGGGATAGTATTGTGGAGATTAACTTTTCATAGCAACAATGACTCATGATGTGCTTGCGGGTGAGTAAGTCACAGAGATCAATGTCGGGGCTACCCCCAGCCAACTCTAGCAACTCAGCTTTACACAAGCAAGACCCTCTAAATAGTAGAGGTTGACGAGCTTGGATAGCTGGACGAACTTCGTCATTTACATATTTGGGACGACGTTGGTTGGTCGTACTACCTTGACACGTTCGTCTTCGGAGTCGACTCTTGACTTGAGGTTTGTCCTCCTGACGAGCCTGACCTTGATTGGCTAGAATAGCAGGGCGAGCTGATTGATTCGGATGAGCCTCATGTTACAGATGAGGTTCGTCTTTTGAACCCACTTGTGTGTAGGAATGAGGTTCATTGTCTTGACGTTCCTCAGCCAATCGACCCTCGACAGATTTATTAGTCTTAGGCTGATCAACTCTTGGTCGATAGTGGAATCCGTCCAATGAGACCAAAGCTCGAGCCTGGCGACGAGCTTGGTTCTGTCGTTGACGTTGTCTTGCACGTCTTGAAAGCGGACCAACAATATACCCTGCCTCAATTGAAATTGGGCGAGGTTCATCAACAATAGCCAAAGTTTGGCTTGTTTGAGAAGCAAGAGCCGAAGTTCGGCTAAGTTGTTTGACAACCCATCTTTCAGCCCGAAGGCTAGTTTTCGGAGCCTCAATCTTGAGAGGCAAAGATTTCTCATTGAGGTTTACTCGAGTCGAATAATCAAAAGCCCCTTGAGCTAAAGTCTTATAAGAGACTTTTCGGCACCTTCGTGCTCTGGTGGGACTGGAGGTTCCAGAGGAGAAGAACTCCTCGTACTTGGATTGGTCCAACTCAATGACCATATCTCGGCATTCGTCCGCCCGGCAATCTTGACTTGAGCTGCACACCACCAGACCAGTTCGGTCTGAAAGAACGGCTTCTCCCACTGTGGTCGCCATCGTCTGTAGGGTCAAAAAATTTAAAGATTGATTGATTCTCTTGTTTTAAGAAAACTGGGTTCGATCACTTGGTACGAAATCCTTACAATCACTCATGATCTCTCGATTACAGAGGAAGAGAAGATTAATTCAGCTTCTCTTTTGTTTAAGGTGGGTTCTTAGTGGCGAAATGATGCTTCCCTTGATGCTTGAGTCGAGATTGCTTCCCGTTGACGATCAGAACAAGATCACAAGAGCTTCTGACGTGGGTTAGAACACGATAATACGAACGTCGATTTCTCTTCTCGCAATAGCCAAAGATCTCAAAGTCCGACTATCGAAAGCCAAAGTTCAGTCCCCTCTTAATAGTTGCTCGAGGCTATTTATAGGAGTTTGAGCATGTAACCGACGTGCTATAATCGTGGAGTCATGGGCATAACTGATGCGCTAAAATTATGGAGTCGTGGCGTAACTGACTCCTTGTATCTAGCCCACGTGGCTGACTGGGTCTTCATGGCCGTTACAGCCTGATTTAATGTGGGTGACGAACTTCACTGCATTGGCAAACCTCGTCCTTGATGTCGAGCCTCACTGCATGGTGAGCCTCGTCTTTGATGTCGAGCCTCACTATGTGGTGAGCCTCGTGAGCTTCTTTAATAACGAGCTTCATCTTCACTGACGAGCTTTAAATCTGATGACAAGCTTTGTTTTCATTGACGAACTTCACCTCTGATGATGAACTCCGAACCTCGTATCTAATAACGAGCTTCAAACATCGTTTCCAATGATGAGCTTTGTCTTTGATGTCAAGTCTCATTTCCAATGATGAGATTCGAACATTGTTTTCAATGACGAGCTTTACATTTTGTTTCCAACGACAAGCTTTGTTGTTTGAGACGAGGTTCATCATTGTAATAACCCTCGTCATGCTCGTTATGAGCTTCAACGTTCTAAGGCCAAATGATTAGCCAATGATCTATGAAGATCCATGAGAGTGGATGAGAGATATGCTTTTTTCACTAGCCTCTCCATCCCCTCCTTTCTTTTCATGTTAATCATGCATATTTATAGGCTTAGGGCCATTATAGAGTGAGTTAATGGTCTTTAACTCCCCTTATAATGAGGGAGTTAGTGGTCATTAACTTTCATTTAAATAAGGTCATTAACTCTCCTTAAATGGGTGAGTTAGTCGTCATTAACTCTCCCTAAATGAGTGAGTTATTGGTCATTAACTCTCCTGCCTCTGAAAATTATGACAGACAAGGTTCTGCTATGTACGAGGTTTATCAATAATGGCAACGGCGAACTTCGTCTTCAATGACGAACTTCGTTTCTGGACGAACCTCATCTTCAATGACGAACTTCATTTCTGGGCGAACTTCATCTTCAATGACGAAGTTCGTCTTTTGAGAGTGAAGTGCTGTTTGACGAGGTTCGTCTGCGGATGGACTTCGTCTTCAATTACGTTCATCATCATGATGGGCTTCGTTGGCTGAGATAAGGTTCATTATGATGACGAGCCTCGTCATGCTTGTAGCGAGGTTCAACCTTGCTTTATCCTTTGTATTTTTTTGGTGTCTACAATTATTTGTGCCCACCTACCAGAAAATCTAGTCTCTGAAAGAAAGAATAGACTTGGGGAATGAGCCTGCATCAACCTGCGGAAAGTAGTCAATGTTTCAGGGTTCCCCAGTCCTTGAATTTTCTAACAAAAGCAACTCATGGCTCCTGGTATCGCTGGCCACCAGGGTGCGTCTCAATAAGAGTAGAATCTGGACTGAAAATCACTAATCGTACCCTCTTCTCATGTACATCCGGAGGATCCTTAAGAGAATCTTTCTTGCGTTTGCCTCCTTTCTCTTTCTGTTTGGAGCCCTGCTACCTAGACCCTCTAGAAAGCCTCTTCTAGGTCGATATAGCCTGCTTTTCGGAGGTGGATGTGGAAACTATAACGTCATGCAAATCAGAGTTAACACCGGTATCCATGGGCAAGGGTACAGGAGGGGTTTCACACCTCACCATGACTGGAATGATCTGTAGTGACACCGGTATCCATGGGCAAGGGTACAGGAGGGGTTTCACACCTCACCATGACTGGAATGATCTGTAGTGGAGCACTACCACGTGAATCATGGTACAGGAGGGGTTTCACACCTCACCATGACTGGAATGATCTGTAGTGGAGCACTACCACGTGAATCATTATCCTGAGTATCATCTGAGACCACCCAAGATGATGGTTGCTTCTTCCACTCACGTTCTACTTCAGAAGGCCAAGTCTCAAAGGCCTTAAAAGATGGAGGGGGCTCTCTGATCTAAGAACCATATCTGTTTTTGGATGTGATAAAAAAACCATTGACTTGTACACTTCGTTTATCACACTCAGCAGCTTTGTGGCCAATAATACCACATGAAAAGCAAAAGTCGGGAAGTCTTTCATAGGTGAGGAAGAGCTTCTCAATCTCCCCGGTCTCTTCAAAGCAAACATGTATGCCTCTTTTTAGAGGCTTAGTAATATCCACGAGGACTAAACTCTTAGTCGTATCTTGTTATCCCGCAAATCAATCCCTTTAAGTTCTCCTATAAGCGAGCCATAGTCTCTGGCGCACCTCTAGTTCATCGCAACCAGTGGTACATTCTTAACCTTTACCCAAAATAAAGTTGAAGAGAAATCCAGAGAAGTTGGGGCACCGATCCTACGAGGAACAATCAAATTGAGCAAGTTTCTTTCAAAGCACCACGGCCCACCATCAAACACTTTTCTTCCTATCTGCATCGGAATTGAATCCGAAAAGGAAAGTATTCCTTCCACTGTAATGTTCCACCTGGAAGGGGGCATCTACAATCCATACCTTCTTAAGGACACGCTCAAGACTATCTCTATTAGCAATTTTCCTACCAAAAACCTTCCCCAAGAGACAATAGTTAAGGGAAGACGAATCTATCCGGTCCTTAGTTGATAGAAAAACAGGGTCATCTTCGTCATCTAAGCTGCATTTGGCATAAAGCTCGGCCAACCCATCATCATCAATTCTCTCCATGTTCCAAATTGATTTGGAGCCGAGAGGCTGATTGAAACGGTGATGTCGTTAATACGAGACCGATAAACGGTCTTAAAATAACAATGCTGTTAATTTGAGTCTGAGAGACGACTTAAATGACGATTTCGTTAATTGGAGTCCGAAAGGTGACCCTGAAACGGCAATGCCGTTAATCGAAAATAAAACGGCGATGCCATTAATTAAATATGAAACGATGATGTCGTTAAATAAATATGAAATGACGATGCCGTTAATTAATTATGAAATGGTGATGCCGTTCGTGTGAGCTGAGAGACAGCTACCTCGGAGGCCGAGATGTGGGAAACCCTGAGGATTGCTGTGAGGGTTGGGGACGAGACCCAGATCTCGCCAAATAATTCGTCGCAAAACTATCGGAGTGAGACAGGAAAGGTCGTGCCTTACAAAGATTGTAGAAACCGGCCAGAGAAAAAAAATAAAAAGAGATAGTTGTGCTGATGGAGATCCGTCATGAGGGAGGGAGAGAGAAGCGTTACGCGTTTCCAGAGAGGAAAAGGAACGGACTGAGATCTAGGGTTTTCAAAAACCTAGAGAGGGAGCGGCTACAAGAGAGAGAGCCGATTGAAAACTAGGGTTTTCGGCTATGAGAGAGAGCCGACTCGCATTAGAGCATGCCAAATATTTTTGGGGAAGTGTAGGAGATGCATTTAATAAAGAATTATGGAAAGTCATTTAAGGATTAATTATAACTAATGATATAATTGTAAATTATCAAAATTTAAAAGGGCAAAATAGGAAATCAAAAGTTTTGACATGAGTATTCTCTTTTATAAGTAGTAATAATGTAGTATAGATATAGATTTGTTTGTTTTATTTTTTATTTTTAATTAATTTTTTTTGGAGGAACCTTGGGTTAATACCAACCACGTAAACCCCGGAGTCCTCTGCATGCAAGTATCATAAACACCGATCCGCTCTTGCCCTTTTGAGCCAAG